ATCACACCGCACAATGTATCACCACATCACCCGGTGATTGTTTTAAAAAAATACAGATCTCCTAGGCAACATAGTAGGACTCCATGTCTACAAAAATAATAAAACAAAATAAATAAATTAGCCTGGTGTGGCAGTGCACACCTATAGTCCCAGTTAGTGTACTAGTATGGAGGCTGAGACAGGAGGATTGCTTGAGTCCAGGAGTTTGAGGTTGTAGTGAGCTACAATTGCACCACTGCACTCCAGCCTGGGCAACAGAGCAAGACCTGCCTCAAAAAACAAAACAAAACAAAACACAGATCTTTTGACTCTTTTCCTAGACAGTGTCCTATCAATACAGAGGTTAACTGTTTTTGATACTTCTTCTTATACATGACACCACAGTTGGCTTGGTAACTGTCATGGCTTCTTCTCTGAGGTCTTCTCAGATGGTGCATACGGAGTTCCATGGGGGGAAAAGCTATGACACTTGGGCTAAAAGCAACAGGCTTGGTCTTGAAGGTCGAATTGGATTCTGCCAGATGAGCGAGAAGCAAAAACATTTTAGGGCGATGATCTGGGTGTCTGTCTAGTAGTTTCTTGAGGGAAGAATATTTGTTAATAGTGTTACTGTGGCCCTTGCAGCTCTGACACAGCACCTAGCACAATAGAGTTTGCTGTTTAAAGATGAGATAGTGTCACATACAAGGATGTTCAGTTTAAGAAAGGTCACGGTGCAGAGAGGCTGGTAGGGAGTTCTGCATATTCATAGTAGTGAGGACAGAGGTGAGGGCACGGCTTGAAGGATTGGCTGGGACGGGAACAAAAGTCGTATATACCATAATGACTAGGATTTGAAGTTAGCTATTGAAGGTTTTAAGTAAGAACGTGACCCATTCAGAAAAATAATTCTGGTACAGTGAAGACAATGAATTGGGTAAGTCAGGGGAGGAGAGGACCAGTCAAGAGACAATGCAAGACTCAGATAAGCATCTGAGCGTCAGCTGAGGGGTCGGCTAGGAGGGAAGGCGCGGGCAGCCTCGAGAAGACTCAGGTGCACAACCAGCAGCAGTGGGGATTACTGACGGCTGAACACGAAAGGGAGTAATGGAACTGCAACTGCTGGGGCCGCAGGTGAAGGACACACAACCCGCTTGGCCTGCAGCATCCTGGGAAACTTTACCACGTAAAGTTAGTTCACTTAGAAAACAAACATTCTAGATACAAAATTAGTGCCAGTCACGGGGCCTACTCAGCTACAGCAGTTAACACACTGATTGTAAATGTGTATTTACGAACTTTCTTCCTGTTCCACTGAATATTAGGACAAGGATTATTTTACTCATTTTCACAAGACCTGAGTAAAAGATACAAATCAGTACATAACAAATGTTTGACAATTGAGGGTGGTACCAAATTCAACCCTTAGGTAGCTCATAGTTTAGGTCAAAATAAAGCCATGTGAAGAAATCTCAAAATTACCAAAATGACTATAATAATCTCATCAAAGTATTACCTATTGTGTTCAAACTTGATTTAAGAAAAAAATTAACTTTGTTAATAAAAGCCAAATTCAGCTGTGAAACCCAATAAAGTTATAGGAAAAAGAAAACAGTTGTAAAGGAAATCCAATAATTGTCACAAAACTTAATTGTGACTATTGTGAATTGCTTATTTTTTAAAAACGTATTCTTAAAAAATTCCTTCCTAAAACATGTGATGTTACTAAAAAGCTACGTGTGAATATTGGTTAAACTTCTCTGGCATTCATGGATATCAATCATTGTTTGGGAGGACATGGAATGAGTGGAATTCAGATCCCTGATCCTAAATAGAGTGAGTAGGAATGAAAAATGAACTTATGATTTTTACAGTAAGAACAGACTTGAAAAATTATACACATTTCAATCTATAATAGACTTTCGTCTTATCATGATAATATACGAACGAATATCAAACATCTCTATAAAAGATACCCTATCCACTATCAGAGTCCTTCAAAAACAAAAATGTAACTGGCTGAGCATATTGGGATAATTCAGTAAATGTATGTGGGCCAAATGTTTTCTATGAAAAAGAAAATATCAATGTAAAACCTCCATAGCTGACCATCTCCGCTGTGGACCATCTCAAGTTTACCTAATTTTCATAGACCGGACACATACTGCATGACACTAATTTTCATAGACCGGACACACACGTGGGTACTGCAGTCCTCGCTCCTCATGCTGACCACCTCCGTATGTTGATCAGTTTGTTACTGTCTTTTTTCGGAGGTCAAATTACAGAGGTTCTACTCTGTTTCTGGGCCATTTTAGGTCAAATCTGCAACCTTCACTATTTCAGTACTTTCTGGTTTTCATTAGTTTAAGAACTGCCTCATGGAAAAGAGAAATTCTGGTAATTAGATATTTCTGGAGTATCAAAATAGATTCAGTTTATGAAGAAACTGCACCTGTCTTTGAAGACTCTTTGGCAGGACATGGTGTTACTCAATGTGTTAATAGGATGCTGCCTTAAAAAATACTGAGTTCTTAATTATCCTACTACACAAGTCTGAGCTCTGCAGATTCCCAGAGTGGGGAGGACAAAGCAGGCATTTGGCAATGACATTTGGTTCTGTTGTCTCTGAGAAACAGCAAGGTAGCACCTCTGCTGCTCCGCTGGTTCCACATGACTTCCGACCACATGGAAATCAAAAGGGCTGAAGCCCCTTGATCGTGTAGAAGCAGCACTTTTATATTTTTCTATCAATCTTTAAAAAGTCGTACGTTTGGCTATATTCTGAGTTAATAACTTGTGGTCTCCTTCTGTAAGAAGGCTGTGAAAATAAATTGTATATGTTCTGTAGATGATTTTTATAAAATGTTGCCACAATAAAGGAATATTTCTTTCCCAATATCTTAAGAGACAGATAAGATCATACACAGTATTTTAGCATTAGCATTCCAAAAGTGGAATGAAGATAAAAACAAGATGTGTGGACATCTATTAAGCTATATATCAACTGGTATTGTATAAGAGAGCCTGGGGGTGGGGGTGGAACTGAAAATTGTGAGCATTCTTCCTAACAAATAAGCCAAGTGATTTGCCATTTACCTACTTTGGGCTTTTTTACCTTGGCTCTATTTTATTTTAGGATACTTTAATACCTACTAGATTCACTTGGTTAATTCAATACGGAGTCCCAAAATCTTACATTCTCTTTCTCCTGCAAATGTCAGCGAGAAATCAAGTTCCTCCCGCTTCCCCAATCAAGTTAATCCAAAAGTTTCAGCACATGAGCAAAGTACAAGGGTAAAATCATATTGATATAGAGTGAATCTAATTTTTGAATTTCAAGTGTTAATGATTTAAATATTTATGTTTAATTATGGAGAATTTAAATCCTGTAAAAGAAGTTCACGGTCACTGAAAAGATCCCTATCAATGTCTACATCACATCTGGCAATAATGAAGACAAATTAACAATAAAATTTTGGAAATCTGGTCATACGATCAAGCCAAAACCATACGAAATTGCTCCTCTGTACTCAGTCACTGGTGGTCCCAAGAAAGACCAACTTCCTGTTTTGGATTCCCGTGTCTAAATTAGAGGAAAATCTCCAGCAATGTGGGATTTTTTCAGGCTTCTGGCTCACAAACAAAAAGCTCTAAACTCACCAAGCAGGGAAACTTCACCCCCAACATCACCTCTGAGGACAATCTGATCTGCTTTCACTTCAGTTCAAAGAAATGACAGTGGCACAAATTCACACCTTTCCTAGTTAAAGCTTAACCTGCTGTGTTAACTCCTTTCATGCCAATTTGTCTTGAACAAGAGGGTTTTTCTCTATATGAAGAACAAGAATTTACTAAAGAGAAAACATGTTTTATCACTTGATTAAACAAACTTGTTTTCCAATTACTTCAAATTGTCACCTAGTTCTGAAAATATCATTTTAATTTTCCTGTATACATGCCAGTTATGCAATTTTCACCTAATATTAGAGTGTTTTAAATAGTTTTATGTGTTTAGACTTGATAGTTTTTTTTTTTTGCAGTTTTTGGCCAGGGCCGGGTTTGAACCCGCCACCTCCAGTATATGAGGCCAGTGCCCTACTCCTTTGAGCCAAGGCGCTGCCCTAGATTTGATAGTTTTTAATAAGAAGAGCTGCACTGACCAAATTAAGAAAAGATATTTAAATTCTTAAAAATCATTGAATAATATTGATTGATAGGCCAGGAATGGTGGCTCACACCTCTAATTCTAGCACTCTGGAAGGCCCAGGTGGGCCACTGCTTGAGTTCAGGAGTTTGAAACCAGCCTGTACAAGATCAAGTCCCCAACTCTACTGAAAATAAAAAAAAATAGCTGTACATTTGGGCAGGCACCTGAGTCTCAGCTACTTGGGAGGTTGAGGCAAGAGGACTGCTTGAGCCCAACAGTGTGAGGTTGCTGTAAAACACCAGAGCATTCTACCCAGGGGAACAGAGTGAGACTGTCTCAAAATACATATATATTGAAAATAGCTTAGAGGTATCATTAATGGATGAACTGCTCATTCCGCAGAAAACCAGTAAGAGAAAAAATATACCAGCAACCCACCATAAGCCTGAAATAGTATATGAAACTTCACCTCTGCGATAGCCATTTTGGGTATAGAAATGTACAATAAACTACTTGCCTATTATAATAAAAGGGATGGTGAATGTGAAACTATTTAGATCAGCAGAAGGCATCAGACCACACAAGGCATTACTACAATTAAGGAAACATGCTTTGGAGCAGTGGTCATTATACAACATTACACCAGACTAGAACAACAAATCTTTTCCTTTCTGGGGAGGTGCGATTTCACATTTGTCTGTCTAATTGGAGTCTGTGTAACAACAATCCAGGGAGGAAGGAAGAATGGTGATTTTTGTTTATACCTTAGTGGACTAAATGTAATTTTCATCGATTCAAAACATTATAATGTGAACTAATTAAGCCTAAAATGTGTTGAAAACAGTAAAAATCGTTACTGTATAAAATGGGCTTGGCATCAAAATGACACATTTTATTAAATAGAATGTGTAAAATAAAATGAAGTAACCTCTATTCGAAAAAAGATCTAAGACAGGTATTATTTAAAAGGCTTTAGTACTCATTTTCAATAAAAAGAAATCTGACATTATAAAAATACATAAAATAGTCACGGCTTTATAACCATTAATTTACATAAGATTTTTTTTGGCATAAAACAAAGTAATAAAGTAGTTTAAAAGGTATTCTTATATGAAAGTTACTCCCGGTATAAAATTTTTATAACTTTTTGTAATTTTGTTTCATCTGTATAAATAAGGCAATTTATCCTTTTAAAATTCATAACTCCATTTAAAAACATAAGATTCTCTGTCTTTTAAATAAAAGTTCCCTTGAGGTAGTGTGTTAAAACTTCTCCTTGGTTCCCCCTTTAGTCTATGTGTCCAAATCAAAAGACTGAAAAGTTGGAGTCCTGTAGTTTTCTAATGTGTGTTTATAGGCACAAATGTGATTTTCTTCCTGAAAATCTGTCCTTTCTTTTCCACCATCCTCTGACTCAGAGTCCAGGTCTGGAGAAGAACGAGCTTGGAAGTGAAGGGCTGTTGGCTGACCATCTGGAGGCTGTCCGAAGCTTGAACAGACAGTGAGGGGAGGTCTCCTGAGGGGTTTTCCAAACGTACCTGAAAGAAAGCAGCCCCTTGAGCACGTGGGTCCTTTTTCTAGCACCAAAGTCAAGAAAACACATTTTGAATGGAGAGGCATCTTACTCCGTGAACATGAATACACGTGTTCTACAAGACCACGGTATGGTACCCAGGTGTACGTACATCCGTGTGGATTACTTACAGAACAGGGCGAGACATCTGTACTCCTTATCTACAGGCAATGAACAAATGCATCAATTTCTACCACTTCTCATGACCCAGTAATCTTCGCAAGTTCCCCAACGTAAGTTCCCCCAAATCCCAGCTTCAGCACTGGAGAGACCACAGTTCTCTGTAAAGGATATGGCGAATAGCACTGAGGAAGTTACCTGTGCCTGAACATAAAAATCATCCTTTCAGAATAATCCTGTACCTTGCCCTTTCTTCATTAACTGTAGCCAAATATTATTCAATTAACTCAAATTCTTGCCTCGGTCTTGCAAAACATATTTTCATTTTTTCCAAAAAGAAATATATATATATTTAAAAAATACCATGACAGTAACTTTCTTAAAAGAAAGTGGTAAAATATTTTAAGATCCTACTTAAAAAAAAAAAAAAAAAGAAAGAAAGAAAAGAAAAGAAAACAAGGGAAGTTGGGGCTCATTTTCCCATTCCTCTCCATTCAGTAAAAAAAAAAAAAAAAGATCTCAGTTCTTTCGTTCCATTGTCCTCACACACTAGACTAAAAAGTCACATACGCTGATCGTGGTGCCAGCCAGCGTCTAACACCGCCAGCCTGGGCTTTAAGGCTCCCATGGTTTCCTTTGCCGAAGGTCGTCCGGCTTGTCTGACTGGCGGCTGATGCTGCTTTCCACCCTTCCACCGTGGGTTCAGCTAGAAGCCACTAGACACACCAACCACAGTTATGCAGGGCACACAACTCCACCCCAAAGGCTGTGCGAGCCCAAAACCACTTTTTCCACATGGCTGACGAGCTGAGCTTCTAAGTCACTCCCCTTACTCATGTCTCACAGTCAATGCCACACACAGTGTTACCCAGAGAGCTCCTAAGGCTTAGTTACAGATTAAACACATCATCAGATGAAATCCCACCTCTGACTCTCTGCTTTTAGAAACATCTGTGCTCACTAGCCTGCAACTTGGAGCACGGGTCCTGAAACGAGGTATCTGATAAGTTAATAAACATACCCAAGAAGGAATGACTCGCAGTAAAGGACGCTGGCTCTGGACTAGAACTGAAATCTGGAGAGGACTTGTTCAGACACACACTCTTTACTCCCAGGCCTTCGCCCTGGGAGTGGCTAGTGTTAAGCAGCTTCCTGACCCGCGGCGGCCACGCTGTGTTACTGAAGCTGCGCTCACAGGCCTCCTCTGCGGCGTGAGAGCACGGGGGGCCCTCCTTCTTCTTCACGCAGCTGGGCTCATAGTGGTCCAGCAGTGCTGTTCTCGGATCAGGACTGCAACCTTTTGAATGTGGGGACAATGTCAAAAGGACATAATACTTAGCATGTCTAGAAGTCTCTGTAGGAACAAGAACAATACTCAGGCAAAAGCCCACATACCTGTATGATAGGCTTCAAAAGGGTCCCCTCCATACATACTCCCTTTCAGGTACACAGGGCCCGCGGCCCCCAGGAAGGGACACAGGAACGGGTCCGTGGCGGCTTCCACGTCGGCTTCACTGCTGGTGTCAATGTGGCAGGTCCCTTCAAAACAGAAATGGTAGTCACTGAACTGATTTCATTGTACATTCTGTCCAATTTTGGTATTTTCCACATTTGTAGAATGGAAAAATGTTGAATAAATGAACATTTGGCTAGAACATCGTGTAGAAAACAAACAGCAGACATCTGCAGTTAAGTTCTTTTACAATTTATAGGCGCCTATGGATTAGCAACTGAGTAAAGGTATAAGAGGTCCCTGTACAAGGACTCAATGACCATCGTGCTGGGTGTGTTGACTTTGCTGCTGGCCCCACCTGGTTTCTGAGGGAAACTGATCCTGCAAACAAAGCAACCGGAGTTTGACCCACTTGCACTACAGATGACCAAAACCAGGTGCTGGCACTTGACCGATGGCCTCCCAGTGCCCACTTCAAAGATGAGCTCAGCAAAAAAATCATCTCAAGGGGTACTGGGCTAAACAATTCCGAAATGATGGGCCAGTTAGTAGCAGACACAGCAGGTGAAGGGTAAGTGATATGGTCAGGGTTAGAGATGTCATCCTGGGCAGTGTGTCTGGGAAACAGAACCAGGCAGAGGATGGGCGGTATCCCGAGAGCAGCAT